TTTCCCTTTGAAGAAGTTTTTCTTCCCTAGTTCTGCATCATAAAGCGGTATATGGCTATGCCACTTGATTCCCCCAGGCCATTGGGATAAATGCTGGTGCCAAATTCCTATAACTGTCCCTGTGAGTGATTTATTACCAAGGTCTTGGCACCCACTGATTCTAAATTTTAGTGCATCCGTATCCAAGTTGGAGTAGGATAGATAGCTTAATAAAATTCAACACGTTTTACTGAGCACCTTTTCTACCAAGCATTCAACAAAGCATTAGGCACTTGGAATATAAAAATGAATATAGAGGTCCTTGCCATCCTGGGATGCCTTCTACTCTTTGCACCATTTTATCTGCAGTGGAAACCTGCTGCTCCTCTGATTCCTCTGGTCCGCAGGCATGGGTCCCATCTTTTATCATCTCCTCATAAGTGAGGGAGCCTCGGGCAATGCCGGAAGGAAGTCCTCTAGATACAAAGCAAAGAGTATTTTGACAATATCAGTTACAAAACTAAAACCATAATACATGACCCTTGAATTCACTGTTCCAAATTACCCATATTTACTTCTCGGGTCAGGGTCTAGTTATAAAATATATTACCCTGTTGTTTTTCATTAAATGATGTTTCCTGCATCCCTGTGATTGGCTTTGGCCATGTTTATTGTAGTAATGAATTGGGTACAGCTACTTTAACTCTGGCTGTCATATGAGCACTGCCTCCCTCATTAGGATGGGTGTTCGGTTTGGTGAGCGCCCTTTTCCCACTTCAGACCACTTTGTGACGTTCTGCTTTAAACTGAGCCCTAAGGGGCGCCTGGGTGGCTCAGTGGGTTAAAGCCTCTACCTTCAGCTCAGGTCATGATCCCAGGGTCCTGGGATCGAGCCCCACATCGGGTTCTCTGCTCAGCAGGGAGCCTGCTTCTATCCCCCTCTCTCTGCCTGCCTCTCTGCCTACTTGTGATCTGTCTGTCAAATAAATAAATAAAATCTTTTAAACTGAGCCCTATAATTGACCTGCTTTGTTTAAGCCATTGACCACCTCTAGGTAACTGTTAAGGTTAGGAAGCCTAGCTTCCCATTGGACATTAACCAGTATTCAGGACAGCCAGATACTCCGTTCTGGACTCTTAAAATCTGTTTTTGGCTTCTACCCATCTAAACTCTTTGAACTTCTTAGGCTAGTACGCCATGGCCCAGGTATTTAGTAAAGAAGCCTTATATCCTTGTTCCACTCAAAGCCCTTCTGTTACCATTAAAAAGCAAGATGGTTTTTCAAAGGATGATCCAGCTTTCTGTCTTTACATGGAAAATCATTCCTATTTCCCAGATAACACATCTTGAGGAGGCAGAACCCAGATCCCCTACATGCAAGGGCAGAAGTACCAGCAGTCCTGCACGGCCTCCTGGGCCTGTGGTACACACCTAGAGAAAACATTTTAATTCAAAATAAAGTGAATTGGTATGTTTCTTATAGTTTATTTCACATTCTTTTTTTTTTTTTTTTAAGATTTTATTTATTTATCTGACAGAGATCACAAGTAGGCAGAGGCAGGCAGAGAGAGAAGAAGGGAAGCAGGCTCCCTGCTGAGCAGAGAGCCTGATGTGGGACTTGATCCCAGGATCCTGAGATCATGACCTGAGCTGAAGGCAGAGGCTGTAACCCACTGAGCCACCTAGGCACCCCAACACTTTACTTTTGATATAACAGTAGACAGACCAAGATTTTTCCTGTGCATTTAAATTTTTTTTTGGAATGACAGTGAAATAAAGGGCCGTTTGCTTGTTCATTGTTTAAATCTTGTGTTCTTCCCAAAAGGATTTAAAGTAATTGGAAGGGAAGAGAACAAAATAACTTGAGCATCTGCTCTCTACCGGGCTCTATGCTGTAGTGATTCTGTATGTACTTCATTTACTCCTTAAAGCAACCGTGGGAGTTAGGTAGGATAGCCACATTTTGAGAATGAGAGCCAAGATATAGGGAGTGTCACGTGGCCAGTAAATGAGGAGAGGGATCCAAACCCAAGGCTCTAAAGCCCCAAACCATTATGTGGAAAGCATGGATACACACTTGTATACAGGACAGTTAACCATAAAAGATAATCTTCGCAGTAGAGGGATCATACCAGATAATCTTTAGTTTTAAACAAGAATATAGCGGGGCCCCTGGGGGTGTCTCAGTTGGTTAAGTGTCCAGCTCTTGATTTTGTCTCAGATCATAGTTTCAGGGTCGTGAGGTAAAGCCCTGCGTGGGGCTCTGTGCCAAGTACAGAGTCTGCTTGAGTCTTTCCCTCACCCTTTACCCCTTCCCATCCTTTCTCCCTCTCCTTCCCTCTCTAAGAAAGAAAACTATAGCGTTAGAACAGGGCAGTTAACAATTTAGTTGATTCCTATTCTAGAATGATGATAGGAGCAGGCGGAAGGTCTGGTTAGCCCCAGAGAATAGACATACCCAGATTTCCAGGTTATGGGCCAGCATTAGGGTAAAAAATAAAATTGGAGGCAGAAAGGCTAAATACAGTCATTTGAACCCTGATGCCCACTGAAGATGATTTGCCATTGAATAGATCACTATCTCTCTATTGCTGTATGACCACAAACCTTGTCATTCAGGGTCCAGAAAGTCCTCCCGAAGCAGTCAGATTTGCAGGTAGGGAACCAGATATCCTTTTATTGCCTGCAGTTTTTGTTCTTGTCCATAGAATGTAGTTACGGCCTTCGCTGGCATGTGACACATTTTAGATAAGGGGCAGAGGTAGCTGGACCAAAGGCCAGAGAAAGCTCTTGCCTTTTCCACAACTCCCCAGTCCTGCTCCATACACCCTAGAAACACTCAAAAGACGAGGTCATGGAGCATGCCCAGCCCTAGGCTTGTGAAGCTTTTCTGTAGACATAGTTTCAGAGCCTTCTAGAACCAAGTCTTTTGCTCTTCCTGGCCTGGCTTCAGTCTCTATAGAGTCTTCAGTTTTTATCTGTCATTGTGGAACCCTTCCAAGAGCAGACACGGAGGGAAGGTATTAGAAGAGCATGGACAACAAGTGCAGGGCTGGTTGCAGCGTAGCATATCCCAAGAACCTAGAATGAAACAATGTCCATTTTCTGTTTCTAATACTTGACATTTGCACAGCACATTTTCGTTCATAAACTCACAGAGCTCAGCTAATCCTGTAAGTTAGAGTAGTTATCTGCAGAGGACTCTTGTATCATCTCATGGTTCCCTTAGAGCTGCTCCAGTTACTTGATGTGGGCCTGGGATGTGCATCTTTGGAAACTTAACCCAGTGTTCTTTCCACGCACTGCCTGCCTCCTGTTCCTTCCCATTCCTTGTCCCATCAGGGGTTCCTCTTCTGTCCATCATCCTGCCATTGCTGATCTGTTTGTCTTTGTCTCTTCCTAAGCTGCCAAAGTAAATCCAAAACAAACAGTGGAAACTTCAGTTCACAATTTCTGAGAGGATTTAGAAATGGCAGGTTTTAATGTCAACCTTGTACGTTCCTTTGTCTTTGGAGAGCAGAGCCCTCTGAGAGCAGGAATGCTTCTGTCAATGCAGACTTCATAGACTCTGTAGTAGACGATCTCTAGTAGCCAGTGCTGTGTGGAAACGAGGAGCACTTCTAGTCCGCCTCCCGGGGCACGGGTCCTCAGACTTCAAAGATGATTGCGGTCCCTTCATTAAGCCAAAAGACTATCAATTCATTATTATCTCAGAACTCCCAAAGAAAACAGCCTCACTGAAGATGGGCATAAAATTTTAAAAGCTACAAACCGCATAGTAAACAGACCACCATGGGGTAGAGACAGCAGATCTGGTAGGTAAGACAATGACCACATAAAGATCTAGAAATGAGGGAACTCTGTAAAGCAGGGTATGAAAGTAAGTAGTGTATGTTTGAGGCTACCAGAAGAGAAATAAGAGCATGAATGAATGAAAAGCCATTTGAGATAACAGATAATAAAAATAAACAACAGGGTCATTGAAATTAAACTCCGTTTTATGGGCAGCATGACATTAGACCCAACTCTTTTTTTTTTTTTTTAAGATTTTATTTATTTGACAGATCACAAGTAGGCAGAGAGAGAGAGAGAGGGAAGCAGGCTCCCTGCCGAGCAGAGAGCCCAATGCGGGACTAGATCCCAGGACCCTGAGATCATGACCTGAGCCGAAGGCGGTGGCTTAACCCTCTGAGCCACCCAGGTGCCCTAGACCCAGCTCTTAAGAGCGGATTGTTAACCTTGAAGGTAGATCTGAGACTGAGGTAATGAAGCCCCCAAAGACTGAAAAATGAAGAATGCCTCAGATTGCATGTGGAGAGGGGTCTGCAGGGGGCTGGACCGGGAAGACTAGGGGTGAAATTTAAACAAAGTCGTTCATTCAACATACAAGCATCTGTTACATGCCAGGGTGGTGTAGGAGATGGTCATGTTTTTAAAAGTTCCTCTTAATGCCTTTCAATGGCTCAACCAGGGGAATGGCAGTGGAGATGAGATGGATTTGAGAGACCCTTAGAAGGAAGGATTAACAAGATCAGTGAATTAAAAAGTATAGAAACAGTGGAGGGAAAGATGGGTTCTTCCTGATAAAAATGGGAAGAAAACTTTATTCATTTAAATTCACTTCATGTGCACTTTATCATACATGTTGGGAACGTCAAGGAGGTTCATAGGAAGCATAGCCGGGGACTGGGTGTGCTATCCCGGGATCCATACCACGGGCGTGGTAATGGCGTTGTGCCCAGGTTGCTGCACAGGCACAGTGATGTCCAACCATTTTAAGGATGGGGGAGTGGGGTCAAGGAAGACATCTCAGAAGACATGGAATCGAAGCTGCCTTAGAAGTAAAGTTTCACCTAATGAAGGGTGAAGACTCGGAAGGAACAACGTGTTCTAAAGTCAGAGAGGATGGGGCTTGTGTGTGCTTCACATGCATACTGTGTGTGTGTGTGTGTGTGTGTGTGTGTGTGTGTGTGTGTGTGTTGGAAAGGATTGAAGAGGAGGATGAAAGGAAGGTCTGCCTAATTTATAATACTTAGGAGTTTGTTTTTCACTTACAAGACGGGGGAATGGTTGAGGATCTTATAGGGAAGGGACGTGATCACATTTGCCAAGGGTGCTCATCACTCTTGTGATACTGTCCTTGGTAACTTGAAGGTAACAAACTTGCAGGCGGGGAGCTCCAGGTTGGAGGCAGTTGGGAGTAATCCAGACAAGAACTGATCAGGAGCTGCGGTGCAAATCGTAGGAATGCAGAAGAGGGAACATGCCAAGAAAGGGAACACACCATGCGGCATTGGAGCTGGAGGGTGGGAAGGTTGCATTTAGAAGGAACAGCCTTCCTATGAGCATGGTGTCCTGAAGAGACACCCGCTTTCGGTTGGAAGATCAGCAGTTCGCGACAGCTTAGTGATAACAGCAAAGGGGGGGGGTATGCGGCATGACAAAGCAGTCGAGGGCTGATGGGGAAGAGCTTCGTGTGCCATGCCGAGGACGTTATAGCTGATCTTACTAACAGAAGTATTTTTAAAAAGCGTTGAGTGGTGCAGTTGGGCCTCTAATTTAGAAAGATAGTCAACATTGGGTTGCCATTGCCCTTCTAGGCGCTTGACAGTGATATGTTTAATCCTCAAAGTCACCCTGGTCGCTGGATACCATCCTTACCTCCACGCCGTAAATGGGGAAACAGGCACAGGGAGCCTAGGAACTTAACTGTGGCCTCACACCTACCAAATGGTACAGCCCCAGTTTAAAGCCTGGCAGTCTGACAGCAGGACTCTCGTCCTTCCCTTACACACCCTTGGTGTTTCTCCACCACCACACGCATCAGGACCACGTGTAGCATTTCTAAAGACGCAGTTACCTCCATTGACTAAAGCCCAAGTGTCCAGAAGAGTGTTGAGCAGTACTTATTATGCAAAAGCTCCACCATGATTGTGCTACCCTCTGTTCCTGGTCGGGTGCTGCCGATACCCCAGGTGGGCAGTCGGGTCAGTAGTCCAGGCGAGAACCGAGGGCCCAAGCTCATGCGGTCTGTGGCAGAGAGGAGGAGGAAACAGATTGAGAGGCTTACAAGGTAGAACTGGTCTAAGGGGCTGTAAGCAGTGGGGAAGAATCAGAATTGAGTCTAAAGATGACAAAGTGGAGTGTTTACTTAGCTAGTGATCTCAGCCAAGATAGGATCTCAGGAAGTGGGGTGGATTTGAGAGCGTAACTGTCAGTCAGTCAGTTTTGAACACTTGGGTTTGAGGGTCTGGAGGTCTTCCCATTAACATGTCTTTTAATAAGCAGAATATTGCTCTGGGGGTGCCTCTGTGCCCGCCACTGTGTAAGGGGCTTTCCTCACTGTTACCTCACACAGTCTGCCCCTCAGATCTCTGAGAGGCCCCCTTTTACGGAGGAGTTCCTATGGAATGTGGTCGAGTTTGAAATGAGCCTTCCTAAAGGCTTCCCCGTCTGTTTCAGCCTGGCAGATGGGTCTCTCTTGGTGTGTATGTAAACGTGTGTGTGCGACACAGATGGTGGTCAGTACGATGGGTTCCAGCCGGCGATGAGCAGCGCCCTTTGTCCTCGCCATTTTCCTTGCAGTTTCAAAGGGTTCGTGAAGTAGAGATGCAGTGTTTTTCTGTTTTCTCTGTGGGGTGTGAACCTGGCGGAGGGTGAGGCGTAAGAGAACAAACTTGAGGCATAGATCATCCGATTTCAACCAAATCTATTTATAGCTGATGGTGGTGGAGATGAGCGGCAGGGTTTTAATAGTGTGAGAAAGCGTTAGGTGTGCCGGGTTATGAGTGAACTCAGAACTGTTATCCCTGTGTATCAGCTCATGCTTACGCTGTTGTTTGTCTCTGCTTCTCTGCCCCAGGTCCCTTGGGAGAAACTCCTTGAGGTGCCCAGGCTGAGACTGGGGGGTAATGACGGTGTGAGCTCTAGATGGTATGAGACCCCTCCCCACAAGAGCCAAACAATGGCTACAGCCTTGGAACCAGAGGACCAGGATCTTTGGGAAGAAGAGGGAATTCTGATGGTGAAATTGGAAGATGATTTCACCTGTAGGCCAGAGTCTGTCTTACAGAGAGATGACCCTGTGCTTGAGACCTCACACCAGAACTTCCGGCGCTTTCGCTACCAGGAAGCCGCAAGCCCTCGAGAAGCTCTCATTCGGCTGCGTGAACTTTGTCATCAGTGGCTGAGGCCAGAGAGGCGGACGAAGGAGCAGATCCTAGAGCTGCTTGTGCTGGAACAATTCCTTACTGTCCTGCCTGGAGAACTGCAGAGCTGGGTGCGGGGCCAACGGCCAGAGAGCGGCGAGGAGGCGGTGACGCTGGTGGAGGGTTTGCAGAAACAACCCAGGAGACCAAGGCGGTGGGTGAGGAGGGGGAGTCCTGATCTGTGTGATGTGGAGGGGCCTATTTCCTGGAAGGATGGATTTGGGGCGTAGGGCATACAGGGAGGGCCCTCATCATTTACCCTTTAAAACTAATTGACTCTGCTCTTGGGTTGTGCCTAGATCCATAAGGGGCAGAGGGGTGTGTATGTGTGTGTGTGTGTGTGTTTGCGTGTGTTTGTGTGTGTGAGTGAGTGAGTGGGACTTCTCTGGTTTTTGAAATCCCTGCTTAGGAACCATCTTAGGGACCTCAGCACTCAAGGGTCAGGTGGCTTTGGTTTTCCTTACTTTGGCTGTTGAACCTCCGGTTCTTGAGGAAGCCAGTTTTGTGACTTTCTCAAAGGTCTTCTTAGACTCTCAGTCACAGATCCCCCTCCTGGGACCGTAAGACAGGGAAGCAAACAACGAGGAGAGCCACAGGTGGGAGCAGTGGAGATGGAAAGAATGGGTATCTCAGAGCCCCAGGTGACAAGGGTAGGGGTGGGGGAGTGAGGAAGCTGTGTGGCAGTGTCCGAATGTCCCCACCTTGTCCTGGCGAGGATAACCTTCAACAACTTTTGTGCCTCAGTGGCACCAGAGACTCCCCTCCTTATCTGGGACCCTCTGGGAGTGTTTCTGTTGGCAGCATCTCCTAAAATAAGCCCTGATGTCAACCGAGACTTTCCTCTTGACTCCATGCTGACTGGAAATTGGAATTATTCCCAGGTGACTGTCCATGTTCATGGCCAGGAGGTCCTATCAGAGGAGATGGTGCATCCGGGAGCAGAGCCCGAGTCACCTAGTGAGCTGCAGAACCCTGTGCAGATCTCGACTCCTGAGGCATCCTGTGAGGAAACCGTACAGAGCCCGGATCTGGGGCCACTGGAAGAGCAGAGCCTGCGCCATGAATTGGAGTTCCAGCCCCTGCAGGAGAGCGGTGGGAAGCCTCAGCAGAAGGGGGCATTGTGGCGGGCAGAGTGTGGGAAGGGGGCTAGTTCCCCTCTACGGAGGAGGCTAGGTGTGGAGCACAGTGGGAATAAATCACAGAATCCAGGGTATTGAGAGAAGACATTCCTAGCTAGCGTCCCCCAGAAACCTGGCCGAGCTGAAACAGCCAACCCATCCTTGCTTGTCCTCTTGGCATGTCAGTAGTTTTCCACATGGTGGCAGTGGGAGGACTTGAGCTGCCCTTGGGCCGGTTTCTGGATTCCTGCCAAAGAGCAGGAGAGCCGGTCAGCTGTTTGCCGCTTACACTGCTCGTTGCTCATCTTCGCCTTCTTTTCTTCATAGAGGTTCCGGCGTCCCAGGACCCATACCTTCCCGAAGAGAGGAACACTGGAAACCCAGAGATGGTTGCCCTTCTTACTGCTCTTTCACAGGTGTGCTCTGGTTTTCTCCCTGTGCCTCAGAGAATTTGAAGAACCACCAGGCATTAGCTGATCAGGTCGGACAGGGCACAAATTTCCACTCTCCTTTGCCAACTTAAGTTCTCAGTTCTAGACGTGTCTGCAGCAGGAGGAGTTGCATGGAATGGGATGAATGACCGTAGTCTCATTTGGATCTGCAGCCTCCCGAGCCTTATTTGCCACTGCCCAGAGGGACTAACAAAATGGGATTATTTCATAACTCTCTGGTATAACCTGGAAGTGGCTGAATGAGAGCTTATTTTTGGTTTTTAGAAGTCAGCTTAATAGTCATTTGTAAGAATGGCTGACTGCTACAGAAATGCTTTCTGAAATTGTGTGGTATCCTCTCACAGGGGCTGCCCTCAGGCCACAGCACATAGGAAGCCCTTCCCATGGTCAGGGCCTCGAAACTAGGCTGTGATGCTGGAGAGGAAAGGAAAAGGCTGCATCTGTGGTTTCACATTGCAGTCCAGGTGCCACCAAAGGGCCTGTGTGTGCTGTGCTGACCCTGTAGGTGATAGGGGTGCCTGGAGAAGGTCAGGGAAAGCTTTCCAGAAAAGGTGAATTTTTGCAGAAATATAGGTGGCATTAAGGCATCAGATAGGGTGTTAATGAGGACCTTTAAGACTTTTCTTGTATGTTAACCAATGTGCTCCGGAAGAAGAGCAGAGGCTGGCCCTGAGAGAAAGCAGTGGGACTAGGAGGCCCAGAGGAGGAAATAAGAAAGTGCAGAAGTAGGAAGTCGGGGAGCAGCAGCCCAGAGTGCTGCAGATTTCCCGAAGGGAGCCCGGAGTCTTATGTGCATGCCTTTTTGTCTCTGGCCATAATCTTCATCCCATGAACAAAATAGGCACCTCTGGGAGCATCCCGGTTTTTTGGTTTTTGGTTTTTGGGTTTTTTTTTTTTTTTTTTAATTTTAATTTTAATTTTATTTTTATTTTTTAATTTTTATTTTTTATTTTTTTAATTTTGTTTTGTTTTGTTTTTTTGTTTTTGTTTTTAGGTTTTTTTGGGGGGAGCATCCCGTTTTAACCAAAGCCTGTGTCTTTTCAGGGATTGGTAACTTTCAAGGACGTGGCTGTGTGCTTCTCCCAGGACCAGTGGAGCGACCTGGATCCAGCACAGAAAGAGTTCTATGGAGAATATGTCTTGGAAGAAGATTGTGGAATTGTGGTCTCTTTGTGTAAGAAATTTCAAGTGTTTCTAGGGTGTTCTGAGCACAGAGGTCTTTCTCCTCTTGGAAGTTGTGGGGGTCTTAGACCTTAGAACTGTATGCACCATGCTTCTCTTAGCCTACCCCACCAGCGAGACAAAGGATGAGCTAAAAGCAAGACAGTATCCTTCCAAGTTAAAGGGAAGAGGAAATGCTTAGAAAGTGGTTGGAAACTTCTAATAAGAAAATAAAATTTAATATATAGCTTTAGTATATTTGAGGAGGTGTGTGAGTTTTGAAGCAAGCAATAGAAGTTGAAGCTGATCTGCTTACTTGAATTTGGGGAAAGAGGGAGCATTAACAGTCCTAGACTATCAAGTTGCAGACGAGGGGCATGAAATGTGCAGGATTTGGTGAGAAGTGCTCAAGCTAAAAAGACCAGATCGGAGCCACTGACCGGGCCGTCCATTTGTTCTTCAGTCGACCCAACAGCAAAGATCTGCTCTTAACACAGGGAATTGCTGAACCAATCGTAATGTCCCACTTTCCCTCTCTTGAGCAGCATTTCCAATCCCCAGACTAGATGAGATCTCCCACGTTAGAGAGGAAGAGCCTTTGGTCCCAGATATCCCAGAGCCTCAAGAGCCTCAAGAGCCAGAAATCCTGAGTTTTACCTACACAGGTGAGGAACGACAAAAGGCATCTTCCCCTGCAGGGCTGGCACTTCCCCTCTCCCTCTGGGGTGCCCCTCTCATTGGTTCTTCTAACCTGTTGGCCATTACCCCTGTCTCTCTCTGAATGCCAAATTCTTCTGTCCTCATCCTCCTCTTTCCCCTCCCGTCATTCGTGTGAGGGATATGTAATGCAAGATGGTGAAAGAAAAAAAAAAAAATGGGAACTTGGGAATGCAGCTGTAGTCCTTTACTAAGCAGGTCACTTAAACTCTCGGTCCTCAGTGTCCACATTTGTGAAATGAGGATGATAATTTTTGTCTACACCAAGGCTTGTTGACAGTATGAGATAATGTATAAGAAAGTGCCTGGCACATGACAGAAATTAGTTGACTGGTTATTTCCTTCTCTCCCAGCCTCTGCAGTTATGAAATATGGGCTTCTCTCTGTGGTCTTGCCTTCCCAAGACTGTTTAAAAATCCCAGCGTTGTGTGGAAGGCATTGTCCCCTCTATAACTTCCCTTGTTCTCCTCTCACCCTCTCTACAGGAGATAGGAGTGAGGATGAAGAAGATTATCTCGAGCAAGAAGATCTGAGTTTGGAGGATCTACACAGATCGATTTTGGGAGATCCAGAAATCCACCAGACTCCAGACTGGGAAATAGTCTTTGAGGATGATCCAAATAGACTTAACGAAAGATTTGGTACAAATATTTCTCAAGTTAATAGTTTATCGAATCTTCGGGAAACCGTGCCTCTCCACCCCTTGTTAGGGAGACACCATGACTGTCCTGTATGTGGGAAAAGTTTCACTTGTAACTCCCACCTTGTTAGACACCTAAGAACTCACACAGGAGAGAAGCCCTATAAATGTGTGGAATGTGGAAAAAGTTACACGCGGAGCTCGCATCTTGCCAGGCACCAGAAGGTCCACAAAATGGGCACGTCATATAAATTTCCCCTAAACCGGAAGAATTTGGATGAGACCTCCCCTCTGGTCCAGGCTGAGAGAACTCCACATGTTGAGAAACCCTATAGATGTGACGATTGTGGAAAACACTTCCGCTGGACCTCAGACCTTGTCCGGCATCAGAGGACACACACAGGTGAAAAACCCTTCTTCTGTACTATTTGCGGCAAAAGCTTCAGCCAGAAGTCTGTGCTGACAACACACCAAAGAATCCACCTTGGAGGCAAACCCTACCTGTGTGGAGAGTGTGGAGAGGACTTCAGTGACCACAGGCGGTATCTGGCACACCGGAAGACGCACGCAGCCGAGGAGCTGTATCTCTGCAGCGAGTGTGGGCGCTGCTTCAACCACAGCGCCGCGTTTGCCAAACACCTGCGAGGACACGCCTCAGTGAGGCCTTGCCGGTGCAACGAATGTGGGAAAAGCTTCAGTCGGAGGGACCACCTCGTCAGGCATCAAAGAACCCATACTGGCGAAAAGCCGTTCACGTGCCCTACCTGTGGAAAAAGCTTCAGCAGGGGCTATCACTTAATCAGGCATCAGAGGACCCACTCAGAAAAGACCTCCTAGCTAGGTTCCCATGTGAGGAGGTCTGGATTCAGCCCTCACCTGGGGATGGGCGAGGAGACGCCCTCTTGTCAGCCTGGGAAGACCTTTTCTGGGGAGTCTCCCTGACGTGCCCAGATCTACATCACCTCTTCCCACAGCTAACTAAAGTCCCCCAGGCAGAACCTCTCAACCTTCTTCTACACCTTGAGGAGGTTTTTTGCCCAAAGTACAACCTGGGTGGAGGCTTCTCCTTGACTGGAGTGTTCCTGCCTCTACCTCATGGGTGTGAAGTAGGAGATGCAGAAGACTTAACAATATCATGGTTATTATACTTTCCCCTAAATAGGCTGTTGCATATCCTAAAGACTGCTTCACAGCCTCAAGTCTAAAGTTGCCCAGGACAGCCCTTTAGGTTGGGTGAGGGACCGGCCTCTAGGATTCTGTCCTTACTGGGCTCAAATCTTAAAGCACACAGCCCTGAACTCAAGGCAGGAGATTTGCATCCTCATGGCTCTGCCACACATTCACGTGATAACTACAAATCTCTCACTGGTTCACTTCTTTACCATGCACTTTCCTTTGATACCTGGGGAGAGATGGGAGAGGTGTCTGATGGGGGAAAACGTTGAGGCTGTTTCACATGGACCTTGTCAGGCTGCTCCCTTACCTGTTGCCAAAATACCAGGGGCCAGACCCTGCTAGAAAGGAGGGTCTAGTCAGAAACCTCTTTAGTTGGGGGTGTTTTCCTGTTGGAATACTCATGCCCACCCTCCTTAGTGTTATACCAGCCTCTTGGTTTTCCCCCTAGCACTTCTGCAAAAGGGAGATGCAACAGCTGGGTGCCAGGGGAGTCAGTAAAGCATAATTACATCACAGTGAAATCATTTACATTCCCACATGCGTACAAGCCCACCCACCCTGCCTTCTTTGCATGGGTTTGCAAAGGGATTTTGGAACCATGTCGGCTAACATAGGTACGATAATAATTACAGAATCACGATTGACTGGGTCACTTCATTTATATGAAGAACACAAGAAGACCTGAGACCAAATTTTGAAGAAAATTTTGTAAAAGCTGTTGCTGCTGGCTAAGGCCATCAAGACTATACTGACACCCAGCCCCTATCATCCCTGCCTTGGTTCTCTGATATCAGGGAAAATTATGAACCCCAGCACCTGGGACCCTGAAGAATTTACCAGGAGTAAATGGCTTTCATGTATTTGCGTTGTTTGCTTTTTCTTATGTGATCTCATTTTTATGTAATTAAGAACTAAATAGTAGTATCTCATGGCTGATAGTAGGATCTCTGTTGCCTGATTAAGGATCCTTGGAGATGGGGAGGAATAATTACGAGTCTCCCCTGCTCTGCTTGTGGGAGTGGCAAGGACTGGATGAGCGTCCTCCATAAATGGAGCATAGGGTATGGGATTAAAGCATGAGAAGGGAGATTGTCTTCTGTGCCTGGTTTCTTCAGCTGTTTCTCAATCCATTATGTGCCACTGTGGACAGAGAGAATGGGTAGGATAACAAGGTTTCAGACCTAACAGCTCAACAAGACAATTCACATTTTGGCCGGTACTGATAACTCCAGTTGCCCAGTCTGGCTTTAATACCAGTCAGCCGTTGTCCTGGAAGTACACACGTATGGAATAAATAAAAGTAACACAGGCAGCCCCGTCCCCTGGTTTCTGGAACTTTCCATTTTATTAACTTCCCAAGGCTTCAGGTTCCAGATAGTTCGGGACGTCATACATCCAAAGACATCAAGGAGTACACAGTAGTTTTCCATGAGGCAGGTCATGGTTGGCAGAGCCGAAGTTGGATTAGATGGCATACTGAGGGAAGGTTCACGCCTGTGGTTTGCACAAGACACTCCTCATGGGCAAACATTTCTGAACCCTAGTAAGGTCTAAGCAAATTTGTGTTGGGTGAAATACAAACTCAAGAGATCATTTTCCGTAGCTTACACCAGTTATGGGAGCTGATAAAATTCTGGAGGTAGCCGAACAAATTTGTTCTAACAGAACAGTGGTTTTGTTCACTGATTTACCTGCGTTACTGCAGTAAGTGAGAAACGGTCAAGAGAATTCTACATGAGGAAAGGCGAGAGACTGATCTAGTTTGTTGGCACGTCAAATAGTTCTTTTATTCCCAACTCCCCAGCAAAGTCACATATGTAGACACTAAGTCTCTGCTTGCTTGTGAAACACTTTATTTTCTGAGGCTCGTGGAGGGGCCCGCCATCTCCTAAACCTGAGCATGAGCAGAGCTGCAGTTCGCAGCAGAAGGGCCTCTGCTAGAACCTGTGGGGAGCAAGAGACTACACCTGAACTGGGGAAGAGGCTGGGCCATGGCTACCCTCAAGGGGGGGGGGTCCCCATAGAAGTTTGTAAACAGTTGAATACTGGTGTTCTTGAATACCGTACTAAATTGACGTTTCTGGAGAATAAAGAGGATTTAAAAGCTAATATTTGGAGGAAGCTATAAAGTACTCGAATCAACAACTCAAGAAAATCGGTAGGTGGTTGGAAATGAAGTCACATGCTAATAAAGTTATGAAATTAAAATATTTGTGCTTTTGGCCATTAGTTTAGGATTAACCAAGGAATATTGAGCCTCTTCTCCATCCCACTTACTGAAGAGAAATAAATGGAAAGAGATCAAGGCAGAATATATTTTTTTTATCTGGAACTTAGGCCTCAGAGTCTAGACCAGAATCTAGTGAACTCTCCGACGAACCCCATGGAGGACACTGAAGTGCTAGAACCAAAGCAAGCTAAAAAACAAAACAGGGGCGCCTGGGTGGCTCAGTGGGTTAAGCCGCTGCCTTCGGCTCGGGTCATGATCTCAGGGTCCTGGGATCGAGTCCCACATCGGGCTCTCTGCTCAGCAGGGAGCCTGCTTCCCTCTCTCTCTCTCTCTCTGCCTGCCTCTCCGTCTACTTGTGATCTCTCTCTGTCAAATAAATAAATAAAATCTTAAAAAAAAAAAAAAAACAAAAACAAAAAAACAAAACAAAACCCACTTTCTCTAGGGCCCAGCTCAACCGGAAGATCTAATAGAAAAAGCATCCTTTTCACTGAGCACTAAAATGGTGAACAAGAAAACACCCCACTGAGTTCTGCAAAGTTGGCAGAAACCATTCGCTCCAAGCCTCACAAGTCAGAGCAACAATCTCCAGATTGCCCCTTGCATGAGGAAAGTGACAAGCTAGTGCGCAACCCTTCCTAGGCCATTTTGGTTCACCAAGCTCCCAGGAAGGACAGCAACCCAAGTGAGAGTTAATCTGACCCTGTGGTGGTTTTGGAGAACAAAAGCTGTGCTGAGAAATAGTGAATTATTATATCCCACACACCTGAATAATTTGCTAGTCTTCCACACAGATATTTTTTAATTTTACCTCTAACATCTCCTTCAGCTAACCAAAGTATTTCTTCGAGCCACAATAAATTTCTCTAAGAGAAATATACATAAATTTTTTTCTTCTGTCTCCTTAAATTTCTAGTGATATTGGCCAACTGACCCATTAATCTGATTTGTGGGTGAGTAACAGACTACAAGCCGAAAAATGGGTGCCCTCCCCATGTACTCACTAATCTGTTTTGGCAGATTCAATGTTCTCAAACTTGAGCACATCTCCTTGTAGGTGGCATAACTTGATTCCTCCTTGGAGAAGCCCCGAGAAGCAGGCAAGGACAGGTTTTGATCTCTCTTTAAAGATTTTATTTTATTTGTTTATTTTTTTTTTAAGATTTTTATTTTATTTATTTGTCAGAGAGAGAGAGAGAGAGGGAGGGAGAACACAAGCAGGCAGAGAGGCAGGCAGAGGCAGAGAGAGAAGCAGGCTCCCCACTGAACAAGGAGCCCGATGTAGGACTCGATCCCAGGACCCTGGGATCATGACCTGAGCCGAAGGCAGCGGCTTAACCAACTGAGCCACCCAGGCGTCCCTAAAGATTTTATTTTATTTATTTGACAGATCACAAGCAGGCAGAGAGGAGGAAGCAGGCTCCCCGCTGACCAGATAGCCCAATGCAGGGCTCGATCCCAGGACCCTGGGATCATGACCCAAGCCGAAGGCAGAGGCTTTAACCCACTGAGCCACCCAGGCACCCCTTGATCTCTCTTTAGATACCAGTCACTGTAAATTATCCTTAATAACAAGAAGAAACAACTCTTGTCAACGTGACAAAAGTAAGGATATCCTATAATGAACAGTTCCTGTTCTTACTGTATGTGTATGCTCATGGAAATTTCAGGTAAAAAGGGGCAAGAGGGAATGCAATTTGATTTTTTTAAAGATTTTATTTATTTATTTGACAGAGAGAGAAATCACAAGCAGGCAGAGAGACAGGCAGAGAGAGAGGAGGAAGCAGGCTCCCTGCCGAGCAGAGAGCCCGATGCTGGGCTCGATACCAGGACCCTGAGATCATGACCTGAGCTGAAGGCAGAGGCTTTAACCCACTGAGCCACCCAGGCGCCCCCAGTTTGATTTTTTTTTAAAAAAAGAGATTAGATTATTTGGTAATCTGGAAAGACGGGAGCTCTTCAGTGGAAACGGGACTTAAGAGCAGAACTTATATAAAGACTTCCAAAAGCAGAAGTAGTAGGTAGCTGGAGCAAAAAGACCCAGTCCTCTGCAAAGGTGCATGAAAAATAACAATCTTCACTTAAATAGAGTATAAATCTTAGTAATGATCCATGCAGAATATGACAAGGCTTCAAAAGGCCATTTGCACAGGAAGATAATTGAAACTGTAAATTCCCAGGATTTTCTGTAAGACTGCTGCTCTGGGCTCATTTCACTTCACCTGTAGTTCCTCCATTAGTTGTACATCTTACGATCTCTTAGAAGAGTCCAAGAGACTACTTATCAAGGGACACTCTCAGGAAGAGGACTACAGCAACCGTTTCGACCTTTGGTTCATTTACTGAATCTCTGCAAAAGTTCTATCAAGAAGCAGTTCAAGGTTGAAGAGCTGGGAGTGGTTGGAAGAAAGTACCCGAAGAGGGATGAGTTAACCACGAGCCAGGAAACATCAACACAAAAGCAGAAAACTGGATCCAGAGACAAAGATCTCTGCTCCCTCCTTTAACTCTGAGGAGCTATTCTGAAAGGCCCTCTTCTACAGCGAAACTCTATTTTGGATAAACTACTAGAGAACAGGGACACCTGGGTGGCTCAGTCAGTTAAACGTCTGCCTTCTGCTCAGGTCATGGTCCCAGGGTCCTGGGATCGAGCCCAGCATCAGGTTCTCTGCTCAGCCAGAAGTCAGCTTCCCCTTCTCTAACTCCCCCTGCTTGTATTTCCTCTCTTGCTGTCTCTCCCTCTGTCAAATAAATAAACAAAATCTTTTTAAAAAATTACTAGAGAGGGGCACCTGGGTGGCTCAGTGGGTTAAAGTCTCTGCCTTCGGCTCAGGTCATGATCCCGGGGTCCTGGGATCGAGCCCCATGTCGGGCTCTCTGCTTGGCGGGGAGCCTGCTTCCTCCTCTCTCTCTGCCTGCCTCTCTGCCTACTTGTGATCTCTGTCTGTCAAATAAATAAATAAACAAAATCTTTAAAAAAAAAATAAAATAAAAAATTACTAAAGAACAGAAATAGCATGTAAATTGGGGTAGGGTGCTCAGAAATTGAGTGTGTTAGCATTCATGAATTGTTCAGGACAAAAGCTATAATATGTTGGTTAGCTCTGGATATTAAGTATGCACTATTAAATTATTAAGTATGCACCATGCAATATCAAGGATACTCATTACAGGAAATAGAGTAAATATTCTAAACAGTGGAGGGAAAATTAGAAATAATTTAAAAACAAAGGTAGGGAAGTAACTCATATTGTCCAAAGAAAGGCAAAAAATAAGCATCTAAAGATGGGACAAATAGAACTAAAGGTTGCAGAAAGCCCAAATATGTGAAGAAAACAGACAAAATATTGGTTAAGTAAAAGAGATTATTTAGGTGGGCTCAACAGTTGATTAGAGCAATAGGTTATATATCAGAGAAACAGAAAAATATAGGAACAATGAACAATTCAAAGAATGAAAAGGATATACCAGGAGAATACTAACCTGAAGAAGCTAAGGGAATTATTTTAATTTTTTATTTTAATATTGACAGAATTTTTTATACAAAAAACATAATGAGAAATTAAAAGTTTAATCCACCAGGATAGTATAACAGGTCTAAATTTCCATGTGCTTAACGAAGTCGCCTCAGATTATATGCCCCAAATTGGTAGAATTAAATAGGAGAATTGATAAAACCATCCCCTTAGTGATCCACTTAAATATACTTCCATAGTTATTGATAGATCGAGCCAATGGAAAAATCAGTAAGGATACGTATTTGTACAACACAATTTAATAATTATGGGGAGTAAAAATCCATGCCTTACAATTATAGAATATCTGTTCTCAAACAGATATAAGACACTTAAAATAATTGCTACTGTAGAGTGCAGTAAAGTAATTCTCAA